CTCTCTCTCTCTCTCTCTCTCTCTCTCTCTCTCTCTCTCTCTCTCTCTCAGTGGAAAGTATCACAAGAGCATAGCGATCTAGATCGATGAACCTGGTCTCATACTAGGTGACCGTCATGGAACCCTACTGGAGGCGCTCAAACTGCCTTCGAAAGGCCTCTCTCTGAGTCACGGGGAGAAACTTCTCCAAAAACAAAGCTGTGAACTATTCCCAAGTCAAAGATGGCGAACCGGCTGGTCTAGCTAAGCAATAATCCCTCCATCAAGTTTTGGTGGATCCAGACAGACGAAAGGTAGCAAAATCAACTCCATTGGTCTCAACGATCCCCATGTTCCGAAGAACCTCGTGACAACTATCCAGATAATCCTGGGGATCCTCAGTAGATGCATCGCTGAATGTAGAAGTGAAGAGCTTGGTGAACCTATCTAGCCTCTACAAAGCATCGGCGGACATAGCTGATCCATCACCGGTCTGAGCCACTACACCCGGTTGAACTGCCAAAGCTGGTTGAACCGCTGGAACCTGAACTTGGGGAGCTACCTGCTCTTGAGTGCACATAGCAGGAGTCTGAGCACCTCCTCTAGCCTGAGAAGTGGCTGGAGCTACAGGAAGCAAACATGCTCAGGTGACACTCTCCATGAGGCCCACCAATCGGACCAGAGCATTTTGAAGAACTGGGGTGGCAATGAACCCCTTTGGGACGTGAGCTGGGCCCACCGGAACTGCTGAGGCCGGAACCTCCTCCTCAAAATCAACCTGAGGCTTCACCACTGGTGCTGCTACTCGAGGCTGAGATCTGCCCCTACCTCGGCCTCTAGCACGACCTCAGCCTCGCCATCTGCCCCTAGTGGGAGCTGCTACTGGGGGCTCGGACTGCTGAGCGGTAGATGAGGAAGCTTGTATTCTCGCCATCTGCGAAAGAACAGAGTAGAAATCCAATTAGCATTTGAGGAACAAATCCGCACGACAAGAAAGAACAAATGTGAAATTTTCCTAACTTTGTAGCCTCTTGGGATAAATACAGACGTCTCCATACCGATCCCTCAGACTCTACTGAGCTTGTCCGTGAGATGTGAGACCTATGTAACCTAGGGCTCTGATACCAATTTGTCACGACCCAGATTTTTTCACCCTCGGGAGTCGTGATGGCGCCTACTAATGAGAGCTAGGTAAGCCAACCTTTAACTACCTTTTTCATTAACATATTACTTCTTTTAACAATTATCAGTGATAGCATGAGAACAGCAGAATTAAATAAGTTAGCGGAAGACTTAAATTAAATAAGCTGAACAATAATGCGAAAGTCGACATACGCCTCTACCCAAGAACTGATGTCACATCACTCACGAACTACTAAGGGTACTAAATACAACCGTTTGAAAGAAATATAACATTGTTTGTCTTGAATACATGAGATAACAGAATGAAATATAAGATAGAGGAGACGTCGGGCCTGCGGACGCCTGCAAGGCTACCTCGGTGTCTCGGTAGACTGAAGGCTGGCTCCCGCGCTACTGCTGCTGTCCAATACCTGGATCTGTGCAAAAGAGCATAGAGTGTAGTATCAGCACAACCGACCCCATGTGCTGGCAAGTGCCTAGCCTAACCTCGGTGAAGTAGTGATGAGGCTAGGACCAGACTACCAAATAACCTGTGCAGTTCAAACATCTATATATACAACGGAAAAGAAATACAGGAAATAATCAGTCAATGTGGGAAGGGGAAACATGTTGTGGTGAGGTAACAGTTCCAAATAGAAAACCTCAATAAAAGAAAGAAACAACAAAGCCAGAATATCAACAAGAATCAGAATTCAACAATTTGCATGGCATCACCCTTCGTGCTTTTACTCTCGTCCTTACCCAAACAAAATTTATAATAAAAATGTGCACGACATCACCCTTCGTGCTTTTACTCTCGTTCTCACCAAATCAATCGTATCATAGTAATGTGCACGACATCACCCTTCGTGTTTTTACTCTCTTTCCTCACCACATAGTCAATGAATATCGGTATGGAATGGTACATCGTACGGCATGGCATCACCCTTCGTGCTTTACACTATTTCCTCACAATAGCAAACAATGCACGGCATCACCCTTCGTACTTTAACACTCTTCCTCACCCAAACAACAATCACAAACAAAGGGGCAAGGGAGTAGACAAATAATGGTAGAAATCCCGGCAAGGGAATACAATTAAACAGCTGAATTCCGGCAAGGGAACAATATCAATAAATCTCAACATCCCGAAAAGGGAGATAATTACCAAAGCAACAAACATCCCGGCAGGGGAACAATTCAATAACTCCTTCTTTTTCTTTCACTTCTTACTTTATAACTCATTTTACCAATTGAGTCAATGCTCCAAAGGGTTCAATTATCTCATATACTTTTACAATTCATATTATAACTCGAGCCAATGCTTCTCGAAGTTCAAAAATCACAATTTCGTTTACATGCTTTTTACAACATATAGAAATCATCATTAAGGCATGAAAGATACAACAAAAATCAGAATATCCGCAATATAAAGACTCACGATCATGCTAGACACCAACGTATAGATACTCGTCACCATGTCTATACGTCGTACTCGACAATTAGTAGGTAGCAAATAAGACTCAACTCCTAATCCATCAAGCTAAGGTTAGACCAAACACTTACCTCAAACTTTCACGGCCAAATCAATCCTCAATTACCGTTTTTCCTCTCGAATTTGGCTCCAAATCGATTGTATCTATACAATAATAACTTCAATACATCAACAAATGTTAAACAATGCGAACCCAATGCCTAATTATAGTTTTCCAAGCATTCTTCCCAAAATTCCAAAAATCAACCCCGGGCCCGCTTGGTAAAAACACGAGGTTCGGACCAAAATCAAATCACTCATTCACCCACGAGCCCGAATATATAATTTATTTTCAAATTCGACTCCAAAACGAGGTCTAAATCAAGAAAAATCAAAAGCCCTAACTCTACCCAATTCCCTAATTTCTACCCTTAATTACATGTTTTAGGCCTAGAAATTCAATAGATGTTGATGAAAATGGAAGAAAATAAGTTAAATATTACTAACCCAAGAGATTATGGTGAAGAATTGCTTCAAAGATCACCTAAGAGTTTTGGAGAAGAAGAGGTTTTGTGAAATTTTGAGAAATCCCGTAAGTGTTCTGTTTTTAGGGTTTTAAAATAACTGGGCAAAATGACTCTACGCGTTCGCGATAGACCTCTCGCATTTGCGATGGGTCAGGATTTTTGGCCTTCGCGTTCGCGAATCTGTATCTCCTCGAGCCCTCGTGTTCGCGTCCTTGGGGTCGCGTTCGCGTAAGGTGTTCTACCCATTCCCCCTGCCCAGGCCCATTTGGCCTTCGCGTTCGCGCGGCCAGGAATGCGTTCGTGAAGGTATAGCCCCCCGTTGCCTCGCGTTCGCAACCTGGGCTACGCGTTCTCATAGAAGGAAGTTCCTTCAGCAACATTTTACACATCGCGTTCGCGAGGGCTATCCCGCGAACGCGAAGAAGGAAATACCACAACACCTGAACTGCTTTTTCTGCAATTTTTCTTAAGTCTGAAACTTTCCGAAACACACCCGAGCCCTCGGGGCTACTAACCAAACACATGCACTAACTCAACAACATTATACGAACTTATCCGTGCGTTCAAATCACCTAAATAACCTCAAAATCAATGAATCAAACCTCAAAATCAAAAAAAAATACTCAAACTTCATCAAGTTTCTAATTTAGAAATTTAAGTCCGAAACACGTCAAACGACGTCCGATTTCAACCAAATTTTACAGGAAGAACTTAAAACATATATAAGACATGTACCGGGCACCAAAACAAAAATACGGGCCCGATAGCATCGCTTTCTGATCAGATTTCTTTTCCAATTTCCTTAAACATTTTCAAAAAACAATTTTACTTAAAAATTTATTTCTCGGGATTGAGACCTCGGAATTTGATTTCGGGCATACGCCCAAGTCCCACATTTTTCTACGGGCCCTCGGGACCGTCAAATCACGGGTCCGGGTCCATTTTCCCAAAATATTGACCAAAGTCAAACTTATTCATTTTAGCATCAAAACTTAACATTTTTCACAAAATTTCATATTTAAGCTTTCCGGCCACGCGCTCGGACTGCACACGCAAATCGAGGCAACTCTAAATGAGGTTTTCAAGGCCTCGGAAGCACAGAATGGATAAGAAGACAGGTGATGGCCCTTTGGGTCGTCACAAAAATAAGCTAAATTTTATAGCTTGGCCAAACGTTCACTGAATTGTTTATTAGACTGCATAATAAGGTTATGCTCCAACTTACTGCTCCTAGTTGACATAGGTTAATTAGGAACCCCAAAGGTAAGGTGTTTTATGTCCCATTCTTGTTGTACTAATTTTAGAGTTAATTANATATATATATAAAGTTGGAAATGAAAAAGGTGATGTGGCACCTTCCAATGCCCAACAATTGTATTTATCTTTTTTCTCCATTTTTGACAATTTTACATTTTTCCCCCTATTTTTTTTTACGTTTCTCTTATTTTGTATAAGAAACCTAACGGTTGCTTATTTATTTCTTTCTCCCAACAGTCGGTTAATAATGACAGACCCTTTCTCTTCTATCTCCCTAATCATAGTTGCCTCTGTTGACTGGAAAAAAATGCCTCTCTCTCTTCCCTTACTTTCTCTATCGCTTTCACTCTCATCCCTTCCTACAAGTAAAATATCCTTTCATGTGATTATGTAGTTTAATTTAGCCACTTGCTTTCGAGTATTTTAATAACTTTATTTGTCATTCCTTTTTCCTTTGTCAGGAGATCTAAAAGGGATTCCTTTGAGTCGCATTCTATGACTCTGAAAAAATTCTTTTGATAAATTCATGATAATTTGGCGAATTAGGAGACTGATGCAGGTTTGGTATTATTTTCCTTTTCATCGTTCATTCGATAGGTATTCTTATATCCATCTTTTTTATTTTCTCTATATTTGTATCAAAATTTCCAACTATGATCTTTTTTGACTGGCCAAAATAAATCATCTTTTTTTAAGGTTTTGAGTCCGCTATAAAATAACAGCATCGGCAGTTGATGGACTAACCATTGACCGAATCCAGAAGATGTTTTGGAGAGGGCTATTTGCTGTTTCTCAACACCTGCAACAAACTTCTTTTAGAGGATGATGTATCCTAAGTGAAACAATAAAAGTCACAAAGGTCCTTTCAAAGCCCATAAGGAATAGAGTGTTTTGCTTTCGTAGTGACCTTTAAAAATTTTCCTTCAGAGTTGTGACTTACTTTTTGGTGCATTCAAACTTTCAAAGTTGTCAAATTTTTTTTGTGCTTCACAGTTGTGAATTGCTTGATAGCGTGGAACCAAGTCATTGAAGTTGCTTGGAAAACAAATTTGTTTGGCACTAATAAAAAAAGTTGTCTGGCACCAAGTCATTGAAGATAAATGGCATTCACAAATGACGTCTTTTGGATAAATGATCCAAACCTACAAGCAATTACACCTTCAATTATATGTATATTTTATCTGTTCTTTATATTTCCTTAATACTCATGACGTTCCAAAAGGATGTTATTTTCAATTACGAATTCTTATAGTTATTACTTCTAAAAATTATGCAAATGTATTAGTAATTCTATTATGGTTTCTGAACAAGAGGGTTAAATTCTGCTCTTACAAATAAATACAGAGTAAAAAAAAATTCATGTAAGTCTTCAAAAAGGACAATAGACGTTTGTTGCCGATGCTCAATACATTCAAAACCTTACCATCAACATCTCATGTGGGGAGAGAATCGTGATATCTTCGGCAAAAACGATATTAGGCAGATCCAAGCACTCCTCTCAGAGAGGTACAAGTTTGCAAGTAACTTGCATGCCCATGGAATGCATGGGCTACCATAATATTCATGGAGAGCAAATTAATTGGGTGACTACATTAGACTAGAAGGACGGATGTTATGGCAGGGTGAACAATTATATACGAAGACGGGGTAATGTGATGCAACTATTGGGGGTTGAAACAACTGGGTAAGAAGGTTAAAGAAAAGGCCATTTACTCTTTTCTCTGCCTGAAAGTTAATGTCTTTTCTAGTTGTTTCATTCAAAATTTATCCTACTCTTCCTACCACACCTACTTCGAAACTCATTTATACATGTGATTTGTTTACGCTAGAGAAGTATCTACAATGTTTGTAGGAATACATGAGGATGAGACAATATAAACATATTTTATTTTTGTGAATGTAATATAGATGCATTAATTTAAATGATATTTGTTGTTTTAATATTTCATACATGTTTTATTGTTCTTCTATTGAGTGTGATATTACTATACCCTTTTTTTTTTTGTGTCAAAACTCATTGACTGACATAAAAAAGAAATACAAAATGGTATTTGTTTTGTTTATTTCATATACAAGGTATGTACCCTTCAAAAACAACACTTCAATACACAAGTTTTAAAATTTGTGATGCAAGCAGTGGCAAGAGGATGTGCTCTCCCTAATGATTTTTTTGTTGCTAATCAGGAAGTATATTTCATCTATATAATTTATCATCTTCGTAATCATTATACAACTAATAATAATTTAAATATTTTTATGTACGTTATTAGTAGTTTTAAGTTGAATTTTATCTAATTTCAGTGTTAACCTTTTTTCTTATTGTTAATACTCCTTGAATCTGTCTTAACTCGATATAACTTAATAAATTTCATTAGTAATATATGATTAACTACAAATTATAGAGAAGCATATGTTCTAACTAAATTAAAATTACGAATCAACTCAAATATAATTTTATTTATATAAGGGTATTCTTCTCATTATAAAGAGATAATATCTAAATCCATATAAGCATACTAATCTTTTTATATATTTGCTTGCATTAATTCTTTTATGATCGTGCGAAGCGCGGGCAAATTTACTAGTAGGTTGAATAATCTTTGGACTATATCCCGCTTTTGTAGATAAAGCTTTATGCTGGTGTTCCAAAGGTTTGCCAGTAATATCAGTGAACAATTTTCGCGCAATAATTAGTGTGGGTTCAATTATCACTACTATCATTTTTTTCTCTTTTCTTTTTGCGATCTCATGACTATGTAATGCAAAAAAAAATTAACAATTTTTTTCAAAGAGTCTTCGAGCTAATTGCAGTAAATAAAATCTCTCGCGCAATAATTTTGCATTCGAGCAAGTAATTAATAAGGTTAAGAATGATTTATTTCTTTGGGTGAAATAAAAAGTTAAAAGTTCAATTATTTGTACATAAAAGAAATTATTTTTCGGGAAACAAACTAAAAAAGAAAGTGTATCAAACAAGTTATTAGGTATCACTTATAATATGATTTTATTTACTCTTTTCTCCAAACTGCAGTTGCCTTCAACATTTTAAAATTACTGCAATTTATCCATTGTATCTAGAATTTTCAAGTAAGGTTGCATTTAATTTGGCGGTCAATAAACTCAAGATATTTTGCTCGTTTGGAGAAGATATTAATGATAAGAGCTTTCTTGTTTAATCTTTTAAATTCTTAACTTACATCAGCGTGTAACACCGCATTATAAGAATGTAAAAATTGCACATTTAGTCGCTGGTAATGATAAACCCTAATTTTTTGCAACAAAAAAACAAAAGCCCTACTTAAGCTTCTTTTATTTTTTATTTTTTTTGAAAGTGTACTTTAGCACTGTTCAAAAATTATTCTAGGTTGCAAGACTAAGAAATGAAAGACAATTCTTTTAACAATACAAAGACGATTTTATTTTGTAATATAAATAGCCTTTTAATTTACGAATACAATTCAATCATCTTGTAGGGTCAAATATGTGACGTTAACCTTATCGGTTAAAAATTGTCAATTTTTGCTGACGAAAGTTGAAGCATTGATTGATCGAATATTAACACCTGCAACATGTGAATAGAAAATTGAGAACTTAATATCTTTTTATTTTATTTTAACAAGAGCTTAATATCTTTGACAACTTGTATGACATACTTAAAGGTAACTGCATATAATTAGTTATAATAATTTAAATTAATAATTCATGTATAATAGATTAAATTATACTACTAAAAATCTAAAAATTATTTCACCTAGTCAAAATATTTGGGTTAAATTCTTGTGCAATAATTTGTGACGATATATACTTTTCGTTTTAATTTATTTGAAGCTATTACTACTTGAGGATCAAAAAAATATTTTTAAAAATTATTTTTAAATATTTTAAATTATTAACTATTGTTACTTACCATACTTCTAAATATACAACAACAACAACAACAACAACAACAACAACAACAACAACAACAACAACAACAACAACAACAACAACAACAACCTAGTGAAATCCCACTAGTCGGGTCTGGGGAGGGTAGTGTGTACGCAGACCTTACCCCTACCCCAAAGGAGTAGAGAGGTTGTTTCTGAAAGACCCTCGGCTCAAGAAGACAAAAGGACAAAAGAAGATAATATTAGTAACACCACAGAAATAATGTGAAATATATATATATATATCTATATATATATATATATATATATATATATGAATAATAAGAACAACATGAAATCAAGAGGAATG